CTACCAACACAGGCCTTGGGAGAAGGCAACACAAGCAATTAGCTCCTGCCACCCTCACAGGCCTCACCCAACACTGGACATTTCAGCTTACGTATATTGGGGTGGGGGAGGGTTGAACCAAGAAGGGGGAGGGAGGGAGAGAGAGAGAGTCTAAGTCTGGCTCTCAAAAGACAAACAAGGATAGGAAGAGACAGGAACACAATGTGGTCACATGAGGACCCAGGGGGAACCACTACCCACAAGGCAAGGGGTGAGGCCTACAAAGACACGTGCCTGCTACCACCTGCATCTCCGAATCCCAGCCCCAAGACCTGTGTGTGAGAGAGAGAAAGCCCTGCTGGCCAAGCGACCCCAGCTGAGGGTTTGCCAAGAGCAGCCACACGACCATCCGCTCCTCCAACAAAGCCCTGAGCTCACCGCCCAGGTCATGGTAGCTGTGTCCAGCCCTGCTATACAAGAACACAGCCCTAGCAGCCTTGTGTCCCAAGGGAGAGCAGCCAAGGTGATCAAGGGACTCTACAGCTCAGGCCACTGGACCGTGAGCCACTTTGGGGGACTGTGCCATGCAGCAGGCACACTGGCCACACACGTGTGAAGAGGGTTAGGGCTCCGCGGCACCCTCCTTCCAGCTTCTAGGTCTTCTGGAGAGCTGGGACTGCCCTGAGGGCTCCTGACATGAGCAAGAAGACCAGGTCACCTCTGCCAAGTGGCTGCTCCTGGTCACCTCTATCCATGCAATAGCCATAAGATGGAATCCACTGTGTGCCCTACTAGAGCTGTCAGCTCTTCCAGGACCCCCTGTGTAGTGGGTTGGGAGCCTTGCTGCCCTCCCGATACTCACAACACCTCATTCAGGACCCCAGGGCCTGGCCATGGTTAGCTGTGCCCAGCTGAGTGCTTCAAGGTAAAGCAAGCAGACTGTAAGCAGAGGGACTGAGCGATCAACCTACCACTCTCCAGCACACCAGCCAAGACAAGACGGCCCCACTCCTGCTTTAGGAGCTCCTAGTGGGGCCAGACTCAAGCTCCTCCTGGAAATACTCAAGAAGACCCTCAAGGGGTGGCATCCCCTTTCAGAGCACCAGTTCAAGTCCGGACTGCTCCACTTCTGATCCAGCTCCCTGCTGATGTGGTTGGGAAAGTGGTGGATGGCGGACAGGGTGCTTGTGTCCCTGACACCCACATGAGTGACTTTGTCGGAGTTCCTGGCCCCTCCCATTAGCCTGGCCATGCCCCAGCCACTGGGGCCATCTGGGGTTAAACCCTGTGGCAGAAGTTCCTGTAAAGGTGAGACGGCTCTGGAAATGCAAGCACCGGAATGTGGACGTACTTAATGCCACTGAATCTGCACACCTAACTAACTTCAAATGCTAACCATTATGTACACTTTATCAGGATTATTTGTTAAGGATTTTTTAGGCAGCTCATGACAAGGTTTGGAAAAGGTGAGGAACTCTGGGCCACCCCAGTTTTCCCAGCAGAAGCCTCTTCTTCCAGGTAGGGCCGCTCATTCCTTGCCGTGCATTTCTTCACAGCCTCCATGTCTGTATGGACACGCACAGTGCCATCGAACCGCACTTGTCTGAGGTCCCTGTGTGGATCGCCTGGCTCCTCGGTGAAGGCGCATGGCTAAAGGCGAGGTCTTGGGTTGTAGCATGGCGTCACAGGGCTCCAGCTCCATCACTATTGGCCTGGGTGCAGTGGGGTTGGGATGGACCCCACTGAAGGAGGACAAAGCAGCCAGGGCGGCTTTCGCTGGCTTCGATGATTTGTCTTGAGGGATGTAGTAAGGTGGTAGGGGATGACTTCCCAAGAGCACCTCATCTCACCCTACAGAGCAGCAGCAGGTAACCTGCAAAACCTCCATATGCGAGTGATCTCAATCTGATTCCCTGAGGGAGAGAACTCAGGCACCTGGGGGGGGTGGGTAGTGGCTCATCAGACTAATCTTATACCTCCATGCACTGGCATCCCCTATGAGCACCGGTTCTTATCCCAGCTGCTCCACTTCCCATCCAGCTCCCTGCTTGTGGCCTGGAAAAGCAGCAGAGGATGGTCCAAAGCATAGGGACCCTGTGCCCTGCACCTGCCAGACAGACCTGGAAAAGCTCCTGGCTCTTGATTGGCTCAGCTCCAGCCATCACAGCCATTTGGGGAATTAGCCAGTGGAAAGATCTTTGTCACTGCTTCTCTCTTTAAACCTGCCTTTCCAATACAAATAAATCAATCTTTAAAAAAAAAAAAAAAAAATCAAGCACCTGAAGGGCCAATCAAGAGGCCAATCAAGTAGACATATGTTTACCTCCCTTGGCACAACCTGCACCCACAGGTGTCACCCATCAGGTGCCTGGGCCAGGGAAGCACTGAGGCCACACGACACAAGAGCCCCCACAGGCTCCAGGAAAGCAGGCCAGGGTGAAACCGAACATCAGATACAGACAAGCAAAGTCTTGGGCTCTGGAGGCTAAAGGCGAGGGATTGAGCAGTGCGTCAGGCCATAGATTCTAGAGCCCACTGAGGGCATTCCATGAGGCTGGCTGGCAACTGTCCTACAAATCAAGGACATGGAGGGTGCCCAGGCCCCTGCCAGAGGCTGTTAAACAGGTTCTTCCTCAGTCTGAGCAATGCAAATTCCAGTCCTGCAGGAAGGCCTCGTCTCCAGTGGAGCCGAGCACACACACAGAACCCACATCCCCGAGACATGGGTGGGGTGAGGGCTCCAGCCCCAACATGGTTACATAAAGGTCATCCCAGACTGTTTCCACCCCACCCAGTGGCCAGTGTTCTCTGCGTTGTCCAGCTGGCCACACTGTTACACACTGGTATGGTTGCCCCACCCTGCTCCTGCCCTTTCCCAATGACTGCTCTGAGCATGCCCACTGGTGGTGGTTGGCCTGGTGTGCACAAGTGTCGCATCCACTCTGCCCATGAAGACAGGCCAGGGACTCATGGGGTCATCAGAGTAATGGGACAAGGGAACGTCACCTTCTTGTGGTCATCCTGGTCAGCAAGGCTCAGCCCCATGTTTACTCTGCACTGACTGGTCACCCATGACATAGGTTTGTAGGACGGTGCTGGCCCGAGCAAGGGTGGGCAAAAAGCAAAGAGCCTTCAAGAACAAAGAGGCCGCCACCATGCTGTCTGCCCTGGAGGTGCCACAGCCCCAGGTTTCTCTGGGCCTTGGGACCTCTGTCCACATGGAGCCCTGCACCATCGGCGTATTCGGCAGAGCCACGGGACAGTTCCCTGTGCACTCCGGTCTCCCATCTGTCTCATCTGAGCCCTAGAACACCTGGCAGCTCCACACTGACATGGAACGAACCAGGCCAGCAGGAGTCACAGGAATGGCACCTGGTGCCACAGCCCAGTGCCAACCTTGGACAGAAGAGGACCTCCATTTGAGAATATCCATGTGGGAGAACTGGATGAAGACCAGACGGCGATTTATTCCTGGTGGAAGCAAACCCAGATCCAGGCCCATAGAGCGCACAGGGAGGGTCAACGGAACATGAACTGGGAAACTTGGGTCTCTTTCTCAGAGACCTGCAAGATAAAACCTTATTTTGGCAAAGGCAAAGCCACCAATCAACAACCCAGCTGAGACCCTGAACGCTGGGATTCTCATTATCCTACAACTTGAAGATTTACTTTTATGTGAAAGAGAGGTGCAGAGAGGAGACACAGAAAAAGAACTTCTATCCACTGGTTCACTCCCCACACGATGACCAGCTGGAGCTGGGCCAACCCCGAGCCAGGAGCTTTTTCCGGCACTCCCACGTGAATATGGTGAGTTCAAGGATGTGGGCCATCCTCCTCTGCTTTCCCAGGCCATTAGCAGGGAGCGGGACAGGAAGGAGAACAGCCAAGGATTTGAGCAGCTTAACCTGCCTCAGCCCCAGCCTCTTCTGGGTTCTGACTGCCCCACGGGGTCACGATACTGCACAGGGGAGTGGAAAGGAGGGAGGGGGTTACCAGGACCTCTTGAGACACATGGGCGTCCTCTTGCTGAAACCGGGGATTTCAAAAGTGTTTGTAGAAATTGGCTTTGCTGACTCTCAACACTTCTAACAAAGGTGGCAGGACACATGGCGGGGGCAGGTGGCCCTTCTGCAGCAGCCCCCACCCGAGATCCCAGTCCCCACCCAAGGCCTACAGATTCTGGTCTCCCCAGTGCCTGTGGAAGCAGCAGCAGAGGTCTGGCCTTCTTCCTCTCAGCCTCCTCCCCTCTTCCTGTCTCTTCCTGCTCAACAGCTCACCAAGACCCATGACAAGTCCCCACCTGGGGGAGGTGTCACACCTGAGGAGGCAAGGGCCTTGTGCCAGCTGGCACACAGCTGACACACAGTAACCTCCCAAAAGATGTCCTGGTGCCACCTCTAACAAGGGACAGGGCACAAGGCCCGGGGTTTGTGGGCAAGCAGGTAACCTACCTGGCTGACCTGGCAGTCAACAGTTGGTCCTTCACAGGTGCTGAGCCCAGAGCAGCTACCTTAGGACACAAATTGATCTGCCTGGCCAGGCCATGTGAAGTTTTGGTGCTAGCTTGGTCCATGGGTGGCCAGGGGCTCTGGAAACACAGGCAAGGCAGGAGCCTCGTGGGCCAAGCGCTACTTGGCCTGTAGGACTTGCCTGATGCATTCCCGCAGCCAGAATCTCACCAGCCAATTAGGATTTAAGCAGCTAAGGTTAACGATGGATCCGTTTTTAAAGATCAAACGGGCTGCATGGGCACCACTGGTGGCTCTGTTACTCACCTGACGACCCTGGCTGCCCAGCAAGGACTTGCAATGCTGGAACACGCGCATCCTGCACGCCACGCCTCAGCTGCTGACCAGAGCCAGGAGACAACCAGGGCAGAATCCTCCTGCGGCGCCTCAGACTGCTGATTTACAACGTATCCGTCCACTGGGAATGTTCTCAAAGGAACGTTTTCCACCTGCCAGGAAGGCATCTCCGATCTAGGCTTTTTGTCCCCCCAAATTTCACTTTATCTGACATAGTTCAAAGTGTCAAACAAACGCTTTTATTTTTCATTAGTAACAGTGCAACCTACTGAGACACGTGACGGCAGGTGAGCTATCCTCGATAAGGCTTCCATTTTATTTGCCGTAGGTAGCATTCAAGTTCATTACACATTCAGAGTAACAGTTTCCATTAGAAGCACTCCACTCTCTGCCCCACATCACCTCCTCGACCCAACCAAACAGCTAACTCTCCTGTAGCTGTCATGGAGAAACTGCAGGTTACATCTGTGCCTGACCTCTAAGCCAGTGGCATCGCTACATGGATTGCACCACAAAGAGAAAAAAAAAAAAAAAATCCCCGTTTCAACACTGCTAGGTTAAGACTGCTGACATGTTTGAATCTCAAAGCTTTTTACAATGTCCTTGGCTCCAACAGGACAAAGGAAAAAGCACTGGGAGCCGCAGACCATGTTAAAGAGGAAGGGACAAGATCCCTGAGGGGGTCATGCAGGGACGAAGTTAAGGCCACACCAGAGTGTACTCAGTGCTCAGTAAGAACAGGTTAAGAAGCAGTGGGGCATGCAAGGAAAGCACTAGAAGAAGCGGGGCAGGAACTAGCTAGAGCAAAACCATGTCTTTCAAGGGCCGACATGTGTCAACTCAAGTATTTAGTTCTCCCTGCCTGCTTGGGGTCTGATCACTCTGCCTGGGTGACAAATGGCCAGCAGATTCTCCCTGCTGGGACCCCAAACCATGACTAATGGTGGGCTTGCTGAGCACAAATGTCTTCGCTGAAAGGAGTAATTATGAATCCAAGGAGGGAGGACAAAGGTGAAATTTAGCAAATGCTAACTAATATCTCAAGTTGAATTTGGGACTACCTGGAGTGGAGGACAGTTCAAACAACACGCAGAAGGAATGATTTGACATCTGAATGGACTCCTGCTGGCCTCCCAGGTGTGTGACAACCCCGACATAGTGCGCCACGTAGGTGATCTTGAAGTTGAGGTCTGTAACTACACACTCGTTTCAAACACTGTACCGCCACTGGGAAAGAATCATCCTGTTTCCAACACAGGAGGCATGTCTGCAGCTTGTGGAGGGGTCACATGGCGGAAAGGAGCGAGGCCATGCCTTGCCGGCTCTAGAGGAAAACACTAATGGATTTAGTGCTGGGGGAAAGCAGAGTAAGAAAGTCAAGGCCGCGTCCCAAGTCTCTACCAAGGCCACCCACGATTGTCCGTTTGCATCTCTTCTACCATGCCTGACCCTGGGGATCCGTGCCCGTGTGTCCGTAATCCTGCTGAGTGTGTGGCCTTGGGACTGTGTTGAGCAAAATGCCACTACCTAGAGTGTGTGCACAGCCACCCACCAGGCGAGGCTGCGCGTCCGCGGGGGTGAGCGCGCGCCTGGCAAGTCCAGCCTAGTGATTCCCTTTGGTCGACTTCTTCTTCTTCGACTCCTCTTTCTGCTTCTGCTTCTTCCTCTTGCCACCTTCTTTGATTCCTAAGGAAACACGGCTTGTCAAACACTGCACAACAGCACCTGCTTCCCCAAGGGGAGGCGCACATCCAATTCACACTGTCCCCCACTTTACAAATATTGAATGAGCAGCACGAAGCCAAGCCATCTATTTGGTCCACATCTCAACCTCAAGGAAAACCATGATGGACTGCCTTTTGAAAACTGCCCTTGGGAAAAAACCTCTCATGTTATTCAAAACCATGCCACAGCCCTGCCAGGAGCAGGAAGCCGACTCCCCAGAACACCCATGGTAGCTGTACTCCTAGCCTCGCCCCACAGCAGCATCCGAAACCACTTTTGCTGCTCAAGACTCGGCTTCAGTCCTAGGACTCTCCGACGTGGCTTTCACAGCCCGCCACCCCTGAGCACAGGAAGCCCTTCCCCAGCTCCAGCCTGAGAGCACGCCCTCTGCAGGTGGATCCCGGCTCTCGCATTTTCCCTGCATCAGCAGATTGCAGTCAGCAACCGTGCAACCCACTTGCTAGCAGACGCCAAAGCAGAGGGGCAATGTTTGCCCTCCTGCGCATTCTGTCCAAAAAAACCAGATAAAATGTCCCTGGCCTCAGTACTGCAGGAATCGCCTTGGATTCATTCAGCCCACACCACGGGGGTGAAGGACACGGGCCTGGTATTGAACTTGGACCACCAAAGACATTTAAACAGAATGCTGGAACCATCAGCCTCCTCCAGATGCACCCTAGAGAAGCCACAAGGCTCTAATGCCAACGACGGCTTGAAAAAGATCCTCACACAAAAACTTTTAAAGGAATTGGTGAAAAATTTTAGCACAGATGCAAGTGTAAGTACATAAATCAGTTTCATTAAAAAAAAAAAAAGATCAAGTTCATGCTGCCAAAGCTACGGTGGGGTTAAATGCCAGCCTTTGTGTTACGAGCTTCATGCTGTGCCTGGCAAGGAAGGGAGGCATTGCATAGCTTCCTGGCTAAGCACCATTTCGCACACACATACACACACAAACAGTTTAAGGGATCCGTTTGATTCTGGTATTCGTGAGTCTTTTTATTTCTCATGGCAGATAATTTTAATTCTCCTTTTTAACAGTTATCCCATTCTCGATAGGCTTATGTATGTGCGAAATCTGTGAGCGGAAAAAAAATAATCGTTTTTTCAAAGCTCTACCAGTACTTTATGGTTAACAGGCTCCAAGTGACATCCACTAGGAGACACACGTGTGCTCCTTCCTGATCGCTAAAATAAAGCGGAGCAAGTTTTAAGGGCGGTTAGCAATTTAGAGTAACAGCACATCCGGCAAAATGGCAAATGCCAGCAAGTCAAACTGTGTTACATTTTCACCCTGTCACCTGCCTCACACTGACAAGGGCCACCTCAACCCTGAACCACACTAGCTGAAAATAAAATTACCCTTCCCTGTAACTCCCTGTTACTTGACATTCCTTGGTGACTAGAGGTGCATTCTGATGGCGAACTGTATTAGACATGCCGTAAGCATGGGAAATCTTCGCACAGCCAGTAGGGGCTGCAGCTTGGGAAGCTGTGTGTCAAAGTCTAGCAACCTCATCATTCAGTTAGGATCGTGTCCACACACCGTGCCATCGCCTGGCGAGCACAGCTCACCCTCGTGGGCTGTACCATAGCCCTGTTCCACGCGTGGCCAGCAGCACGCAGCATGGGTAAGGATGACGAAGCTTCCCCTGCAGCGGCCGTGTCCTCTCTAAGTCTTTCAGACAGGCTCACCATCATTCTTTGATGACTTTTGTGTCGATGCTGTTTTTGAGCCCTGCCCTCCGCCCCCAGCCCCCAAAATGACAGAGTGGCCAGCTCCGTGGCAGCCAGAGCCCGCTCTGGCAGGTGCCAGCTCCAGCCCAGCATGGCCATGGAGGATGGAAGTGCTGGCAATCCCATGACAGGCCCCCGCCTCGGCAAAGCCAAGGGAAGATAAAAAGGCGCAGGTGGAGGAAAAAACAAACAAAAAAGCCTATCATTTTCCTCCTTGGTGTAAAGATTCATTTGGGGCTTGTTACAGTCAAAAAGGCATCTGAGAGGGAACCCAAAGATCAGAAGTGAGGAAACAATGAGATCTGAGGGGCAGGATTGAGTTTTCTGTCCACACTGTCCAATGCTACTTTCTCCCCAATTCTTCAGTAGAGGCAGTTTTACTGTTCACTCAGGGCCAAGGGGTCTTTGGGAATCCACAGCCATAGCTGCCAACAACCAAGAAAATGAACCTAGTTTCAAAATAAAGCTATGTGATCTGTCTTTGGAAAGATGTTGCACTTCCTGTTCTGGGAAGCCTGCTTTACTTTTCAATAAGCCTCTACTCGGCAGGCCCATGCTGTCTCACACCTTCTTCTTGGCATCTGGACAACCCTTGAGGTACCAGGTAGGCCACGTTAATGGCGTCTTCCCAACTGAAGCTGTTCTGGTGGTGTTTGTTCCTGGAAACTGAGTCTGCAACCCCACTCTGCCCTTGATGTGCCACCACCCCATGCACAAGCCACCTGCGGCCCGACCCTTCAGCACGAGGAGCTGACAGGAGGCACTGGGGAAGCTTCCACAAGCCTAGCCAACACAGCTAGGTGACTGCCTCTGTTGGTCAATCAAACAGGAAAGGATGAACTGACCCCAAATGCCCTTCTCACGTCTTCCTGTAGTGCAGGGCAGCTGCGGGCCCTGTGCCCTTGGAGCCCAAGCCCCAGGAGACCTCACCTACAGGTGGGTATTACGTGCCACCAGGCTCTTCCTGTTGAGGATATACCCTCCTCTGCCCCACTCAAGACCACATCAAACAGCTTTGGCGTATCTGAAAAGGACTAACAAGGACTGCCACGTGCTGCCTTCTTCCGTTGATAGGTCTGGGGAGCAAACAGACCCTTGCCGTTACACCATCCTGCTTTGCCCAGGTGCATAGAATTCACGTCCTGACATCTGCCTATGTCACCCTAACACACAGCTCCTGGTACCCTACCTCCCTCTACAACACAGCCTGCCAGTCAACTTGGCTCCTCACACAGTGATGAGAACCAAAGAAGACTAAACACGTTAAGCAATGAACGCTTGAAACTAAACTGACCTAGGCCTGAAGATTCAGTCCAGGTCAAAGCTGTGTGCACAACATTCCCTCAATGCAGATGCTCGCAGGAGGAACGCACACCACAGGCCCATGGGGCTCCCCTTCAGGGGTGGCTGAGCAGAAGGCAGAGCCAGCCTCTGGGAAGAGGAGCTCCAGAGGCACCGCAGAGCAAGAAGGGGGTCACTCTACACCTGGCTGAGCAGCTGTTGAGGTGCTTGGCTTTCCCATTTGGCCTCAAATCCAATGCAAAAGAAGGCACAGGGAGGTAGAGCTGATTTAAAAGGGGTGGTGGTGGTGGTGGTGGTGTGTGTGTATGTGTGTGTTGCCAGGGACAAGGGTGCCCAGGTGGAGCACCAGGTCCCCTTCAGACCTGTCAGGAGTAGCCCTGGGGCATGGCAACTCGAGCCATGTATCTCAGGCACTAAATGGAGAGCTACAAAAGGCAGCAATGGAAAAGCAGCACTTTGCAGTTGAGGGATGGCTCGTTCTCACCTTTTTGCTCAAAACACACTTCACACTCAGAAGACTCGGACCCTGTTTTAATTGTGGGAGAGCTGTGAGCCTCACGAGGAGGAGCCCCCACAGGTGAGCAAGGAGCACAGGCACCTGCCCTGCCTCCACACAGACCCTCCTGGTGCCTGCCCCCCTGCTCCCCCAGACCGCTCAGGTCAGAACACAGCAGCACAGGCTTGATCTCTGTCCCTTGTGTCCTTTCTGCCCTTCTGCATCTGGGGAAGGGTCATTTGGGGTACGCTTCACACCAGCTCCCCTCTGCACACCTGCTGAGCTTGTGGGGGGCTCCCAGCCGCCGCCAGGGACCCGCTCCTCGTCCTCTTCCCAGATGGAGTGCGGCGCTTGCCTGGCCGCAGGGGTGTGCCGGGGGAGTGCTGGCTTGTGTGGGCGGGTGCTGGCGGGCAGGGCGTGCTGGCCTCTCCGCAGGCACTCCTCCGCCAGGGCATGCTCATCAGCCACACCTGAAAGACAGCACGGGGGGAGAGCAGTGAGCGGGGAGCCTGGGACCGCCTCGCCTCCTGCAACACGGAGGATTCACGCTCTCCGAGGGAATGGGCATCTCTGGACCACAGGGTTTCTGGAAGAGGAGGAGGAGGAGAAAGATGTAAATTCCGCAGCATCAACAGCACCACGGGCGCCTGAAATGAATCTTCCAAGAGAAAGGCAAGAATAAAAGAGTCCATTCTCAGGTTAGTGTGGACTGGAACACCAGTCTCGAGTCCAGGCTGCTCTGCTTCCAGTCCAGCTTCCTGCTACTACGGCTGCAACGCAGAAGATGATCCAAGCACCTGAGCTCTGGTCAGCCACATGAGGAGAGAACCAGCAGACAGATCTTTGTCTCTGTCCCTCCCCGTCATCATGCCTTTCAAATAAAATTAATTTTATTAGGGAGAGAGAAAGCAACAGTGTGCTACTGAAGTAAGCAGCTCCCAGCCCCACCCCACTGTGCTTCTTCAGCGTCCTGATGGAATCACAGGGCTGGACCGCCTCTGGCCATGACTGTCCGTATCAGGCGCTGGCAGCCCTCTGGAAGGCAGCACATCTCCTCCCAGCATTGCTCTCCGTTTTAGCAGAGGCAACCTAGCAGCAGCAGTAGCAGCACTCCCAAGCAGTACCCCGGCCTGCAGAGCACGGCATCGGGTACCCGCTCAACATCCCTCACTGCTTTGAAGTTCTTACTAGGGAAAGAAACCTGCACATTAGGCGACGCCAGGAATAAGACAAGTAGCGTTTGCTTCCAGTCTCTGGAAGGACAGAGACAAAGCCCAGCTGGAAGTGTGAAACCCAAGGCGGTAGCGTTCCTTATCCTCGCCGCACATCCTGCTGCTGGGACAGAGCAAAGAAAGTGTGCTCATCCCCTCCTGAGCAGGTGGCACCAAATGCCTCCCAGACACCACAGCACGGCGCCCACTGCTCCAGCTCGAGCCCCAAGCAAGTAACCCCAAAGGCCGCTTTCCCTTCAAGGAGTAGATGGAGGCGTGATTCCCCCCAACACTGATTTTCCTGTTGTTGCTGCTCCCTACAACTGTCATGGAGCACGGACACACACTGCAATACCTTGAAGTGAAATGGATTCAGCAGCAACAAATTTAAGTTTAATGAGGTTTTGGTGTTTTGAAGTGACCGGGTGAGCGGGAAAGAGAGAAGGGGAAAGCACCTCACGAGAGCAAGCTGGGAGGCGGGGTGCCTGCTGGAAGGAGGGCGGGAGAGACACCCAAGTTACAGGGTTTTTACAACTAGCCCAATCTCTACATCACTCACCGATTTTCCAGTGGCAGGCACAGCCCTGGAGCCTATCCTCGGAGCCTGGGCTCCCCAACCTATTCCCTGTCTGCAACTGAGAACCAACCCCCCAACTCTGTCAAGAAGTCTTGCTCTCAGTCTTCAGGCACACACCTTCAGTCATGACAGTGATGGTCAACAAAGGAGAGACACCCTCCTGGTTACACAGGAGATCCACTGCCAAGGACACCAAGCCAGACCTGGGCAACCTACAAGCTGGGGTGCAGCGCCCCCTCTAGGGGGGCCGGGGAGCACGGTGCACTCCACATCTCTGGGCTGTGTACTAGACCCCAGCAGGCCCCGCCCCGCAGCACACCCTGCGGTTTTCGTCTATTTTAGACCTGCTTCCCCATCCACCCTCTGAGCACCAGAGAAACATGCTATTTTTGCAGCTGTGTTCAAGCGCTGCAAAGCAAGCCGGGAGGCAATGCCAAGCTGTCCCATGGTGCTGCTACATCAGATGCCTCAAATAGCACAGCCACAACATGAACAGTCACTCTGCAGGTCCAGCCAGAGGCCTCCTGGGAGCCCCATGAGACACTGCCCCCAGAGAACAGGAGCCCAGCTTCTTCCCAAGCATCAAGTGCAGCTTGAGCAGAGAGGGTGTCATCCTGGACTGCAGCATGTTCCTCACCTGACTCCAGGTACTCACCTGCAACACCAAGTCCACCTGGTTGCCACCTGAGCCCCACAGCCTGAGGGTCTACAGCTATCCAGGGTCAGAAAACAAGCAGCATCCGGTACACACAGACTGTAATGCGGCGGTCATGGGGGACAGGAAAGGTCGCAAGTGTCTGGCAGGAGGTCCCAAGTCACACTCCGGAAGCAATCAGCGGGATGCCAGAAAAAACAGCACCAAGCATTTCAGCACATAATAAAATCACACCGGCCCTGACTACCTGCAGCCTAGCAAGAGAACGGGGTACTCAGGAGACAGAGGTGAGAAATTACTGCATGTGGCAAGGACAATCAGGATCGAGAGAAGTCACACCCCCATGGCAAGCAGTGCCCCCAGAGCCTGAGGGCATCTGACCCAACGCATGCGCTGGTGGCTCTCACCTTAGCTGCAAGTGTGAAACAGACGCCAACTTTCCAAGGTCAAGCCCTCAGCCCGTCTCCAGACAGAATCACCCTAGTTCATCCTGATGTGTTCTCGTAAGAAACGAGATTTGGGTTTCGATCCGAGAGGAGAACTGCAGCCTTTGGGACCGCGACACACCAAGCACTAACAGCCCAGTTTGTCTTTGCAAAGTGACCAAGTCTGAGAGAGCAGCCGGGAACCTCCACCCCACTTACCTCACTCCGGCTCCAATCTCTCAGGCATCCCACGAGGCCAGGGGAGTCCTGCTTTCTGCTTCCAGCAGGGCCCACTTCCCCCCCCGGGGAGGCAGAGCCTGAGCCCATCTCTATGGCACTAGAGCAAGCTCTCCTGCCCGTCTCTGGCCCTGGCCTCCAAGGAGCTAGCTTATACCTGAATATCACGGTCAGAAAATTCCTAATTCTCATGCCGGACACACCAGAGCTACCAGGCTCTCCACGTGGCTCCTGTGCTTGGGGGCGGTCAGTACCTTTCCCAGTTACCCTGTGAGAGTTCTGTGCCAATGGCCTAGTTAGAAAATCACAGTCCCCACGTTCAGCCGACAATCTGAGAACAAAGGCACACTCAGTGTTGCACAGCAGCGCTAGGTCCATTTCCGCCAGGGCCCTTCCCTTTGCTCTTCCCTCAGGAACAACAGCCTTCCCCACTGCTCCCCAGAGATCTCAGCACCCCCAACTCCCAACTCCCAGCACCCCCTGGGCGAAGCCTTTCAATCCCCCAACCCTACTTCAGGGTGACCCACACATGCGGCCAGCATGGAAGATGGTCGTCCTGCTGCAGTCTCTGGGATACATGGTCTAGAAGCTTTGGCCTGACCCACTGGGGCTAAGCCTGGAGGACAAGGGCCTTTCCGTCATGACCCCAGGCCCCCTGGGTCATGGCTCTACATGCCAGCGTGAGCACAGGTGACCAGCCAAGGATGACCATAGCCAAGGTACTACCCCGATAAGGTCTGCAGAAAACCTGTTTCTGAACCTGTTTCTACAGATGATGGGAAAGGAAACGAAGGTGGGAAGGGAGACCCTCAGATTGAATCACTTTTCTCCTTATTCATTAACAAGTTGTCACTCACTCTGCTCCTACTCTGTATGCAGTGCGGTGGGGCATTGGGGGGGCAGGCAGGGAGAGGCAGCACCCCCCTCAAACACAGCTGCTAGCAGATGTATGAGGCAGGAGCTCGTCACAACTGTTACGGAACCACTATCACTTCCAGACCACAACACGCAGCACCCCGCCACCGCAGCAGCGGCCTCTGGCTCGACACCATGGGGCAAGGCTTCCAAGGCATTGGGTCACAAAGCCCGAAGAAATTTGGGTTGATTTAATGCCCTCCCCCGCCACCCCGACTCAGCCTCTTACAGACTGCAAGGTTCTGGGCAACTAAGAGCACACCCCAAGTCACACACTGATCCGCAAACATGCTGCCTGGGCAACTTTTTAGGGCAGACATGGTCACCGAAAACCAAGGAGTGACAGAATGAACACTATCTCCTCACTGAAAACATGGAGGAAGTTGGAAAGCCAAAGCTAATGTGGGCTGCTGATACCAGAAAACACACATGAGGGCTGGGCACTGATTCCTACAGCGAAGCACCTGGGCCCAACCTCCTGGCTTCCCATAGATACTGGGAGGAGGCAGTGGTGGTTCAAGTACCTGGGATTCTGCCTCCCATTAGGAGACGGCCTAAACTTCCCAGCACAGGCTTTGGTTTCCCCAGTGAGCATCTGCAAAGTGAAGCAGCTCGCTGACCAACTGGCAGTGTCCGAGGGTATGAGAAGCCAAGGGGGCCTGGCACCGTAGCCTACTGGCTAAAGACCTCACCTTGCACACACTGGGATCCCATTTGGGCGCCAGCTCTATTGCCAGCACTTCCACTTCCCTTCCAGCACCCTGCTTGAGGCCTGGGAAAGAAGCCCAAAGTCTTGGGACACTGCACCTGCGTGGGAGACCCAGAAGAGGCTCCCTGGCTCCTGACTGGCACAGTCTCAGCCATCACAGCTGCTTAGGGAATCAGTCAGCAGACAGAAGACCTTCCTCTCTGTATATCTGACTTGCCAATAAAAGAGAGAGAAAGCCACTGGAGTAGGCTCATGCATGCTGGTCTATCCTGAATGTACAGCCTTGTAAATGATCCAGAATGAGGCTGATGTGCTGACTGGCCCCAGAAATGCACTGTGCTTCCCAGTGATGGGGTGGGACACGCAGAACTAGGGAGAAGCCATGCGGATGACAGCGCCTTGTAAATCTGTGGCTCTACAACATGGTAACTCGGTGTCCCCGAGACTGCCTACGGCACCATCTTACAAACTCTACTTGCACAAGTTCTGGGGAAGACACGTACAGGGCTGAGCATGTGTGTTTGCCAAGAACCCACAGAATCTGCTCCTGCTGTGCAATACAATATGCTTCTGTCCCAGGGATTTAGTCTGCTGTGTTGGGGTCCCAGGTGACCGTGCAGATGGACAATGCTATCTCTGATTACAGCACGTGCAAGCCTATAGGAACAGACGCATCAGCACGTGATGTATTCACTTTTACAACTGCGAGAGGGGGCAGCCTTTGGTGCAGCCGTCAAGATG